ATAGATAGATAGATAGATAGATAGATAGATAGATAGATAGATAGATAAAAAAACAAGAAGACAGAGATAGAGAGAAAAATAAAGACAAGGAGAGACAGACAGGGAAAGAAAAATACAAAGCCAGAGAGATAGAGAATTACAGAGATAAAGAAACAGAATAAGCTAGAACATTCTAGCAGACTCTCACAGAGTCCTCCATCACCAATATATCATTTCTGCATATCAAGTTTATAATGTCTACCAACTTGATGATTTAGTTCTTCTTCCATCATAAAAGCTGTATATTAAAAGTATCCTGTTATACTAATAACTGGAGAAATGGTTTCCATCATGTTGCCTCATTCTGGTTGCTGGATTTCTTCACATGAGTATATAGGCTATTTTTACAAAAAAAAAAATAGAACAGCCTGCTGTTACTTATCTCTTTTCTTTCAAACATGGGTGAAATCTTTCCAGAACCATATTTCCATTATGAGTCCCAGCCCTCTAGTCTAAATGTTAACTAGGCAACAAGATTTTATTTCTTGTGTTAGAGATAGTTCACCTAACTTGTAAGGCATAATTCCTTGGAGACCCCAATAGGCTACTAAAGTTGTTTTTATCTTTTGTTCTTCCTCCTTGTAAAGTTCTTCCCTTTTTCCAATCTTTCATGCCTTTTAACAGACTTTTGTAGAGGTGATTCTTGGTCAGATGTTAGTTGAGGTAGATCATAATCTCTGAAAAACCATCATTCCTTAAGATCTCTGATGTTGTTTTCTACAGTTTTTTTCTTGAAAATACAACTTGCTATAGAAATCATATGGCAGCCTACTTATAGTTCCTGAAAAAAAAACTTTCTTCTAATGTCCTATGGCGGTACAGATGAAAGTAAGTATTCTAAGCCTAGCTTAGTGAAACATAACTATGGCGGATCCTTCCAAGCTACAAAGGTTTATGGTGGACTCTGGTGATAGACTATGTACTTCTCTGATGCCCAAAAGCCACCTTAGCTTAGTTCAGAAAGGGAGAGTTACTATTGGCTAATCAGTGAACCTATTACCATTTATTAAGTGCCTACTATATGCCCAGCACCATGCTAAGCACCAAGAATACAAAGAAAGGTAAAATAAAGTTCTTACCCTCAAAGTTCTCACCATCCCTAGACAATATAGAAAGCACATAAACAAATTATATTCGTTAATAAATTGGAGATAGCCAAAGGAGAAAACGCCCTGGAATTTAGATGGATCAGGAAAGGTCTCCTGTAGGCAGGATTCTAGCTCAGCCTTGAAAGAATCTAAACCAAAGATTGAGAATTTCTCTGGGACTCCCAAAAGTGTAAAGTATGAAAGGATAAAGTGTCTGTGTTTGTGGTCATCTCTGCATCCACAGGGTCAGAGATAGAGAATTGAAGAGGGTGCAGGCAGTGTGAAGGAAACAGATTTAAAAATCATGCAGATTGTTATGTGATTCACCGATGGGCTTTTTGAACAACTCCCCAAACTATGCAACTGGTGTTAACTGGTAGCTGTTCTTCCTTAGGAAATGGTGATTTCAGGCCATTGCATAGACCTTACACTAAGTAGAATCCCAAGAAATCTCAGTCAACTTTCTTGGATCCTTTCCTCTCTTCTCTCTGTCTTTTGACTTTCCTCTTATTTATTCCTCCCTCTTGTCTTTATTACTATTTTCTCTCATTATCAGAGGGAGGGATATTCATAGAAAAAGATCTAGTTCTTCAACCCAAAGCAAAAATAACCTTTCTTCTTATGCTGATTTTTTTTTTGCCAGATAAGAAGGCATTTTTTTTCTCCTGAACTGGGAAATGTCACTTTGGAAAATGTTAAGTCTGTAATAGACAGAAACTAGTTAGGAATTGACATTGGAGAGAGGCTCTCCCTCTAGGACAAACTGGATCAATGAATTTCAGGAAGCTGGAGTAACTTCAAGGACATCTCCCTTTATGCTTTTGGTCCCTTATTTCTGCCCCTCAAATAAGATATGTCTCTGACCATATTTTACGTATTGGAGTCATTAATCACGTAGAGTGAATTTTTCTGATGGTCACTCTTTTGTTGCAGCTGAATGGCATCACTCTCAAATGGCAGGTATGGAGAACAGATCTGAAGTGAATGAGTTCATCCTTACAGGATTAACAGATGCCCCAGAGCTTCAGGTTACTCTCTTCATAATGTTCATCTTCATCTACCTCATCACCCTGGTAGGGAACCTGGGGATAGTAGCTCTGATCTCCTGGGATTCCTGCCTCCACACCCCCATGTACTTTTTCCTCAGTAACCTCTCTCTGGTGGATTTTGGCTACTCCTCAGCTATTACTCCCAAGGTGATGACTGGGCTCATCACAGGGAACAAGGTCATCTCCTACAATGGATGTGCTACACAGTTGTTCTTCTTTGGGTCTTTCATTACTGTTGAATGTTTCCTTTTGGCTTCCATGTCTTATGATCGCCATGCAGCTGTGTGTAAGCCCCTACATTACACCACTACCATGACCTCAACAATATGTGTCTATCTGGCCAGTGGAGCTTACATCTGTGGCTTTCTGGCCTCCTCCATAGTCATAGGAAGCATGTTTAGCCTTTCCTTCTGTAGGTCCAACATAGTCCATCACTTTTTCTGTGATGTTCCCCCTCTCCTAGTTCTCTCTTGCTCTGACACTCACATTATTAAGTTAGTAGTCTTTACCTTAGGGTCACTAAATACCTTTTTCCCATTTCTTGTCATCTTTTCCTCTTACTTGTTGATCTTCATCACCATCCTGAAGATCCATTCTGCTGAAGGCCGCCAGAAAGCCTTCTCCACTTGTGCTTCCCATCTCACAGCAGTGTTCATATTTTATGGGACACTCATCTTCATGTACCTTCAACCCAGCTCAAGCCACTCCATGGACACAGACAAAATGGTGTCAGTGTTCTATACCATGCTCATCCCTATGTTGAATCCTCTGGTCTATAGTCTTAGAAACAAAGTGGTCAAGAATGCTTTCAGGAAAGCTCTGAGGGCACAGCGACTTCAACTGGATCATCTTTTCTCTTAAAGGGAAAAGTCAATCTGTACCTTGCTTACTCTGGAATCCAGCACCCAAGTCAGTATATTTTTCTTATGTGCAGAGAAATGGAATCCAAACTTTTTCAAAGGTAACTTTGTGTAATAGAAAAGCGTCATAGATTTGAGCTTAGGAGAGACATGAATGTAAACTATGTCTCAGATACTCTCATATTATATAACCTTTGGTAAGTCACTTAAAGTCTCAGCCTGTTTCTTCATTTTTAAAAGGCTTTAATAATATATCCTATCTTATAAGATTGCAACATGGAATGAATGATAAGCATTTATGTCTATACACAGACACACACACACACACCCCTATGCGCAATATAGTGATTCCAGTTGTTATCCTCCTAGAAAAGGGAAGATCAGTTCCATCATTTCTGAACAAGTTAGTACTTGGAGAGAAGATCTGTTGGGTTTATTGTAAGGTGTAACTTTAATGTTAATGGCATTGCTTATCTGCTAAATGAGAGCTGTGCTGTTAAATGCTTAAGAACCAGCTCTTTGGGGAAAAAACATATCCATTACACACTTTGAAATTTAATAAGCCTTATTATTTTCTCCATCACTTCCTAATGACTAGACCATCAACAAAACAATAAATCAGGTCCTGATTTATAAACTTTACTGATTTATATGATCTAAATATTTCTACATTAAATTCAATCATCTCTTTGTGAGAGCTGGCTCCAGCACACTGCTGCAGTATAGCTGTCTTTAGGAAGGAGTACAAGCCACAGGGTGGTCCTTAAGTCTTGGAAAGAACTTTGATACTGTAGGAAAGAAGCATTTCCCTGTAATATCAGTGTAGTATCCTGATACCAACCTCAATATCAATTGCATTCTAGCTGATAGTTCTTGGGTGCTTTATGTATTTGTGTGTCTGAATAGGGGTTTTCTGTAAGTTGGTTTTTTTTTTTTAAGTACCTTTTGATTTTTGTGTGGGATGAAATAAAGTCTACCAAGCATTTGGTAACTTGAATTATAGGAGCTGGAAAGCCATCTTGACCATACCAGGAGAAACTTCGCAACATACTATACTAAGTCTTTTTGAGGGTAAAATGAAATTGAAAATGGATACCCCTCTTTATTTTGTATTATTTGGAAATTATTGATTGAGAATTATACGTAATCACTAGAATGTATATATGTATAGCAAATGTAGATTTAATTGTGTAGTAATCTACTTTCGATAAACGCAAAGATCCTAGCTTCTGGGACAAGAACTCATCATTTGACAAAAACTAGAAAACTGGAAAATAGTGTGGCAGAAACTAGGTATACATCAACATCTCATACCATATACCAGGATAAATTAAAATGGGTGCATGGTTTAGACACAAAGGATGATACCATAAACAAATTAGGAGAGCAAGCAATAGTTTATCTGTCAGATCTAAGGAGAAGGGAAGAATTGTTTTACCAAACAAGGTATAGGAAGCATTGCAAGATGTAAAATAGGTATTTTGATTATATTAAATTAAAAAGTTTTAGCAGGAAGAAAACCAAACCCTCGAGAGCCGGGGTGGGGGGGGCGGGGGCGAGGTCAGGACCGGGGTCAGAGCGAGCGCCGGGGGCAGAGGGGAGGAGGGAGGAGGGAGCCGGCGCGGGGTGGGGGGGCCCGCGAGCTCTGCTCTCCAGTTGCACGGGCCCTCATCGCTGACTTCCTGTCGGGGCCGGTGCATTGTGGGGCCGATACCTGGGGCTCCCTGGAGCTGCGGGTGATGGGAAAGGCTTTCATCCGGCCCTTCCGGGAGCATCACGTTGACCCCACCGCCATCACCCGGCACGACTTTGTTGAGACCAATGGGGACAACTGCCCAGTGACGCTGCTGCCTCTGGTGAACGTGGCCTGCAAGTTCAGCGCCCTAAGCCCGGATGAACTTTATCAGCTCTCTCCCTGCAAGTGTTTTGTCTTCTGCCCCGTCATCTTTGGGACCCTCACCAACCAAATTCACAAAAGATCTCAAGCCTATGTTGGGCTTCCCCGATGGGTCACTTTCTTCCAAGACTGGCACATCATCTTACCCAGAGAGCACCACCGAATCCACCATGTGTCCGCCCATGAGACCTACTTCTGTATCACCACAGGCTGGCTCAATTACCCATTGGAGATGATTGGATTCTGGAGACGGTTAGAGGATATTGTCCAAGGACTAACTGGAGAAGAGCCCAGGGCAGATGATATGAAATGGGCCCAAAAGATAAAGTAGTCCCCAACAGCTTTGCTATGAGCTCTAACCTTGTGGCCAACCTTTCCAAATAGTCTCTCTCTCTTTCTCTTATACACACATACACCCTTCCCTCGCCATCTGCTAAGTGCCAGACTTGAAGTGAAATTACTTGGGGACCTGCTCAGTAGATGGGCAGCACCGATTGCTTCTCTCTCCTTTGAAACAGAGATGCTGCTTGACACGTAACAGATTAACTGAGTGAAGGGAGGGTAGGGCAGGGCCCATGTACCTGCTGGCCAGCATTCCTGGGGGTGCCCTTCATCTTTGAGAGTCGGGTGTCCCCCACCTCACAGAAGCATCCCATGGAACCACAAGGGAGCTTGTGGAGAAGGAAAAAACTTGCTCACAAGGAGTTCGTTGGCCTTGTCACTGTTTCTGCACTGCCTGGGAGAGCCTGTGGCCAAATGGAGACCCGAGGAAGAGCAGAAGGTGGAGGGTTATCATGACTTCGACTCTGGTCCATTAGGGTTTTTAGTTTTTATATTGAATGCAGTGCCCCAAGGCTGCTCTGCATGAAAACAGCCCACAGAGCCCAAAGAGCCCACCCAACAGTCAGATCTTCTTGCACTCAATGGTCATTCACCACAGTGTCTCCTTTGTGCCCTTGGGACTGGGGGTTACCTGAAGGCCTGACTGACCTCCTATTGGGATTGGAAAGCAAGGGGAGAAGCTTCCCTGGGCCAGTCTGGTCTCCCCCTCTGCCAAGACCAAGGGAGATCGATATGAGACTTGTTCTGGCCCCCTGACTCCCTGCTCAGTTCAGGAACCCTGCCTACCCAACCAATCCCAGGAACAGACATGAGTCGGACGTTTCCCTTTTCATGGAAAGGAGAAAATACAGTTGGTGCTAGAGATGTTTCTTTGCTCTGCAAGAGCCATGAGCTAAGGTGATAACTGGATGGGAGGGAAATGATAGCCCTTTTGGAGAAGTGTTGTCAAGAGAGGAGAGGGATTTTTTTTTTGTTTTTGTCTTTTTAAGGTGCTTGTTTGTTTAATGTAAATAATATAAAGTCTTAATATCTTTTCTGTAACATGGAATAATATTTTACGGTGATGTTTTGAATATATGTAATATATTTATAACAAAGCAGCTGAGAATACTAAAAAAAAAAAAAAAAAAAAAAAACAAAATCCAATAAAAGCAACCAAATTAGAAGGAATACAGAAAGGTGGAAAATATTTTTTACAGCAGCTGTCTCTGATAAAGGTCCCATCTCTCAAATATATAGAGAACTGAGTCATAATTTAGAAGAATACAAGTCATTCCCCAATTGACAAATGGGCAAAGGATATGAACAGGCAATTTTCAAATTAAGAAATGAAAACTGTCTATAGTCACATGAAAAAAAAAACCCTAAAACACTATTGATTAGAGAAATTCTAATTAAAACAACTCTGGAAAAAAAATGACTCTGAGGCACCACCTCATATCTATGAGGTTGGCCAATATGACAGAAAAGTAAAATAATAAATGTTGGAGAAAATGTGGGAAAATTGGAACACTAATACATTATTGGTGGAGTTGTGAACTGATTCAACCATACTGGAGGGCAATTTGTAATCATGCCCAAAGGGTAATCAAACTGTACATACCCTTTGATCAAGCAATACCGCTACTAGGTCTGTATTCCAAAGAGATCATAAAAAAGGGGAAAGCACATACATGTACAAAAATATTTATAGAACTCTTTTTGTGGTGGCAAAGAATTGGATATTGAGGGGATGCCCATCAGCTGGGGAATGACTAAACAAGTTGTGATATATGAATATGAAGGAATACTATTGCTCTATAAAAATGATGTGCAGGCAGATTTCAGAAAAACCTGGAAAGACTTCCATAAAGTAATGAAAAGTGAAGTGAGCAGAACGAGAACATTGTACACACTAACAGTAATATTGTATGATGATCTACTTTAAATAACTTAGCTAGTTCTTGTCAACAATGATCCAACACAATTCCAAAACAGTCATGATGGAAAATGCTATCCACATCCAGAGAAAGAACTGATGGAGTGTGAATGAACATTGAAAGTACATCATGGACACAACAATTTGGGTGTATGTAAAAATATTACATCAAACTCACTAGACTCCGTGCAAGTTCTGGGTATATCAAGATAAAAAGAATAGAGTGTGTTCACTAGGAGACAAATTGTACAAGGTGCAACTACATATACACATGCAAGTAAACATAAAATATATAAACACTATATGAAAAAAAGAATTTTAGCATAGTGGAGATACAAGTAAGTGGTTAATTAGGACAGATGACCTTCCAAGTTGACAATGAATCATTATTGAATTCTTCATGGGTCTAAATATTCACCAAATTCTGAATCTGCCATACTGTGCTCCTTATGGTCTTTCTCTGCATCTTATATTGAAGAATGGAACAAGGGAGCTTGTCAAAGGGTTAAACTATGACAAATGATTTCCACAGTATTCCTCTCAGGTATTATGGAACTAGAACTTTTAGGGCATGTGTCCTCAAGGATCAGAGCTATGAAAAGGAGTGAGATAGGACAAGATGGTGTTTGGGGAGACAGATCAATTGGAAGCTCTGAGTAGCATTTTAAAAAAAATAGAATTAATATTGATAATAAGCATAATATTTATGATTTGAAATTTACTATTCCTATAGTGGTCTTAAGAACTAGACCATGCAAATCTGCTTATTTGTATTTTGCAAAATGAGGAGATTAAGGTTCATCTGGGATAAGTTACTCCCCTAGAGTTTCACAGCAACCTCCAATTCCATTTCAAATTTTCTAACACCAAGGTCAGGGATCATTTCCTTACCCCACTTTGTGGAGATCTTTTCACTACTCCACATCTCTTTCATGTTCAGGGTCACATGTGATTTTCACCAAAATCTTTTGATTGTTTCCAGGTATAAGTTTAGTATACCCATTTCAAACACAGATAGACTGAGATTTGGAGATGTTCAGTGACTTGGCCAATGTGACATAGCCAGGAGGTGAGATTTGGAGATGTTCAGTGACTTGGCCAATGTGACATAGCCAGGAGGTGGTGGTGAAAGGACTACCACCCAGCTTTTGTCAGTGGCCTTGTCCAGGTCCCTTTCTTCCTGACTTTGCTAACAACAAGCTAAGATAGACAAAGTACCATAAGAAAACTGGTCCTTCCCCACGGTCAGAGCAGAATTTAATGACTTATTTTGTTCATGAGTGGGCAGCAGAGCTGCTAGCATCTCTAAGGGAGCACCATCTCCCAAGAGCTGCAGGGCTCCCACGTCTGCATAAAGTCCCAGACCCGTCCCTGACTCCCACTACTAATACTGAAAAAGTCTACTACAGGTCTCAATGCTGGGGAACCAGCTTGTGGGTCAAATTCTCTGAGTCATTCACTCATTTATCCAGTTCTTTTTCTGTTTCCTGGGGCTAAGTTTAATGGAGGCTAGGAGTCGGCATTAGTAATTCTATTGCCATTCATGCCATAACAATGGCCAGAATTGATCTCTCTGACACTACTAACTTTTGAACAATTTGCCCTAATGGTTAGTGAAAAGTTTCTCCAATAGAAGCACATGCTTCCTAAGTTTGGGATTTCAAGGTCAAACCTCAAATATAAAGTTCTTGTCTAACTCTCCCCTTTGAGTGCTGGCCACCTTTCTCCATTTAAAATCAGATGGGTTCTAGGATATCCAGTCCATGACTGCAGTGGAAACATCTCTGGACCTGAAGGCAGTAAGATTTGTCAGACACTAATTCACTGTTTAGGCATGGGTAAATTATTTGACTTCTTTCCTTTCCTTGTCCATCAAATGCATAAAATTACACTGGTGATACTCCACTCACAGAGTTGTGTTGGGGATCAAATATGGTCATATATGGAAATTGGGTGCAAACAAATGCTCTTTAAACACCAGTGATTATTTCTACCTGGAGCTTTTCTTGCTCATCATCCTTCAGTAACTGAAGGAGGAATTTGAGGGATGGGCAACTGTAGATTTCTAATGAACCCTTAAATTATGTTGATTAAAGGAATATTGTATGCAGAGCACTGCATTAAATTCTTGAGACAGGGGATTGAAAACAAAATTTAGATGAGATATAGTCCTTGCCCTCAATGATAATACATCCCATTTTTATGGCATTGAAACATTTGGAGGAGCTTTACATCAGTTTTCTCATTTTTATCTCCCAACAACTCTGTGACATAAATACTATTAACATTATTCCCCTTTTACAGGTAAGTAACTTGAGGCTAAATGACTTAAGTGACTTGTCTAGACATATGCAATCAACACAGATTGAGATGGGATTTTGATCCCCATCTTTTTGACTCAAAGATCTAAGCTGTCTCCACTACAACACATCCCCACACCATTAGTTTCTATTATCATGTTTCTTGGAGCTCCAATTCATCCATGATCATGCACAAGTCCAATAACTTGTACTGATCATGGTAACTCTCATGCCTATAGCATTTGATTCTTGGCAAACATTTCCCTTACATTCACTATGCATAACCACCATGACCAAATAAATATTAATCCCATTTTTCAAATGAGGAGACAGCGACCCAGAATAATTGATTGACTTTTGTGAAATCACAGAGAAAATGAATTCAAATCAAGCAACATAAGAGCCCAAGTCTTCAGTCTCCTAATCAAGTGATCTTTCCAAAATAGTACTATCTGCCAACACTTGGGCATTTCTGAATAGAAAACAAATCACTTTGTCTGCCCTGATGACAAAGAAGGGCTCTTTCTACACATGGAAAAGTGAGAGGACCCAATATTGAATTCATCAATAAAAATGATTGTCACAGAGACGTAGACTATGTCTACACATATTTGATTCAGAAGTATTGACTACCAAGATGGCTCTTGACCAACATTACCAAAAATCTTGACTCCAAGTTGTTGGTTTGAATTTTCTTTAGTATAGCTCCTATTTTGTTAAAAGAAAATCTTCATTGATGTTAGTTGCAAAAAATAAATTTTATTTCTACTT